GCCCGTTCCTGGCCCCCGCCAGCCGCGGGGGCGTCGGCGGTGCCTCCGGGCAGGGGGCGGCCCGCTGAGGAGGATCACCACCCAGCTCTGAGTCTCCTTTTGAGCAGAAGTCCTTTCTGCAGAATGGCAGGTTGTGTCTTGCAGCTGCTGGGATTTGTTGCTGACTAAACAGATGTTCCTATAGCTGTGCTTCAGACCGTTGTTTATCAGCTTGAGCAGACCGGGATGACTAAATTCCCTTTACCTTTCCCAGAAGATTTATATTGTCCTACTCTTAGTCACAGGCACACACAAAAAATCCGTGTGCATTTGCAAGCCTATGTACAAAACTAAGCATGCACAGGAGTACATATGGATGTACATGCGTACACAGCCATTCTCACGGTTGTGAGACGGATAATCCAAGGTTATCCGTCTGGTTGGAAAATGTATTTAGGCACACAAACCCTTCTTGTCCTTCTGATACAAACTCGGTAAGCCTCCGTGCAAAGTCAGCATGTAGAACTGGTGCTCTGAGTTTAATTGAATGTGTTTCAGTTTGAGTGTTTAATAGAAAAAGCAATTGGTACTTGTGGAGCAGAGAGGGTAATAAGTACATATCTCCTGAAGGAAAGTATGAAAGAGATTGGGTAAACTATAATCTGTGTGACAGGGAGGTAGGAGGTCCCCACCTTGTCATCTCATCTCCTCTGCAGCTACAGCAGCTTCTCTCAGGTGATCTGACTAATCCATGTTCTTCCTAGCTAGAAACAGTGCATAGTGCCTGCCCCAAAGAAATTGCCATGTAACCCAGACACACAGATCTAGACTAGTACTGAAATAACAAAGCGTGAAAATACATGCATTATTTCCCCCCTCCCCTTCTGTTTCTTAAGCCCCTCTGGCTACCTTCTCAGTTGTAGCTGCTATCAGAGTTCAAGCCCTGGTTTGGTTCAAGTACCCCTCTTTCATCCCTCTCTTCTGCAAGAAGAAAATCTTAATTTGTGGAGCTACACCCAAAAATAGGAGCCAAAAAAAACTATGAAGTGGCCAGATGTTGTTCCTCTCTGCTTCTGCTTGTCAGGAGACACGTGGCTCATGGCTCTGCTGTTCTCCTCACCAGTCCACGTTTTTCATCCTTTCCTTCACGCACTCAGCTACTGAAAATGCAAAACTACTCCAATACGCATCCCTTGGCAGAGACATTTTCACATTAATGCACAAACAGGCCTTGACACAACATCCTAGAGGGGAGAAAGCAAGGATTATTGCTTTCAGTGATGTTGCTGTGCCCAAAGCGCGTTGTTGACACAGCACACCCACGGATGCAAATAGTCAAACACCTGTTTGTGTAAGGGAAGCCTGTTTCCAGCAACCTGTAGGATGGGACCGCTTGGTCAGCTCTACAAACTGGTGTGCCACTTCTCCCTTCCCCCCAGCACTTGCAGTGTGCAGCCTCACATTTTCCCTTCCACGCTCCCCACCGTATCCTCTTTGCAATTTTTACCTCATCTGTTGCTTCTCAGCTTTTGCCTCGTACCTGTATTCTTGGCAGCATTCTTTCCGTGGCCCTCTCCCCGGCTTCCCTTTGCGGCGACCTATATCCCATGTACAAAATTCACCTCGCATCCCCCCCTTTCATTTTCCACGTGTCCCATTTTGCCCTGCATGCCTGCATCAAGTATGTTTTTCCCCTTAAATCCTATGTGAAACTCCTCTTCCTGCCTTGTGATGTCCCTGCTTCTGCATCCCAACTCTTCTTGCCCGTCAGATCCTGATGGTGGGATTCCCTTCACTTCTAGTTGTGCAGCCCCTTCGCTTAAGCCCTGAGGGCATCCTTTAACTGTCTCACCTAACCCTTCCCTGTGTCTTCTGCTCCTCCATCTGATTTGTGCCACTCCGCATTTCGGCTGCCAGATCAATTTGCAGCTTTTCTCTGCTCCTCTCTCCCATCTGTGTTTTTCCCTTTGTTGCAAATGCAAGTATACTCATTGTGCGGTCTGCAGATGCGAGTCCCTTTTCAGTATGTTCTGTAATCTTTGCCTCAAGTTGCTTTGCCAACTCAGCAGAATATATTCCATCCTTTTCGGAGTCTTATGTCCTTAGACAAAGTGAGGGAGGTGCAGAAGTTATATGATATATCATTGTTCGGGAACATAGACAATACGCGTGTCTGTCTGCAGCCCAGAGAACAATATGAATGTAATTTTCTCTGCACAATAAGTTACAATTTTTGTGCTGTATGCTTGTTTGTGCTTTGTGTTCATGCAGGCGTGTGCATGTGTTTAGATGTAGTGCATACCTATTTGTGGACAGTGGTGATATTTTCTCTCTGTTACGTGCATTTACTTTTGTGAGTATAGAAAGTATGGTACTTTTCTACTGAGGCGTGTGTTAAGCTTGCATGTGTGTGTCTTCATATGTGAGCATGTGCTTGCATGTGTGTCTGGGCTTTCATGCATGGTATATATTTTTCTGCTTCTAGCACATGCAGGGTACATGCACCTAGAAGCAAATATTTATGCATTTTGTTGTCATACCTTGCTAGTCTTGTCACTGTATTCTGTTGCGGGCGGATGGGGACTTTGTTGTTTATGTCAAAGGCTGAACTAACTCTGAGCCATTTTCTGAGCAAAAGCAACACACAATACTGGGTATTTCAAGAATTTTGTTTTGTGAACTAACTCTTAAGTGGTTCCAAAACTCTTCCAAACTGTTTGCTGAACAACAAACGAGCAGAAGGTTGTGTACTTGCATTAACTTTTCTTAGATGTACATAGGTTCAGACACAGAGAGTATCTGTCCTCTTACTTACAGTGAAACTGGCAACACCTCAATGCATGGAGGGAATGTGTTTGAATGCATTTATGTATTTAATCCACACTGTTCATCTTTCTGTCCTGTGTCCATTAAAAATCCAGGCAGAATATCAGCTTTGTTCTACTTTCATGATGCTGTATCCTGAAGCCAAGAGGAAATACCCAAGAATTCAACCACCAGCCAACTTTGCATTGGGAAATGGCTTCCTGAGAGGCAACGCATTTAAATAAGCACTGCGGAGGGCTAGGAAGCAGAGCAGGTAACACGATGAGAGGAAGCAAGAGGAGTAGAAGGGAGTGACGAGGGGTGACACAGCCTGTCAGAAGATTGGAAAGGGGAGGGAGGTTTTGAATTGTGATTTTTGTGAACCTCTCTTTGCTAACACTGCACAGATGGAGGTCGTGGTTCTCACTCACAGTGTGACAGACACATTCTTAACACGAGCAAAATATTCTGAACGTAATCGCTGCCACCGTGCAACACAAGCTGCAGCCACCACAAGCCGGCTCTAGCATCCCAAATATGAATTGTCACGTTTGAGGATCAAATCAGAGCTGTCCTTCACTCAGGGTGCCCTTCATCTGAGGTCAGAGTTAGTTGTTGGGTGAGGATTACGTAAGAGGCACAGATGAAGGGAACCAATGAGGAAATGGCTGTGGGTAGCTCTGACTTCTGATAACGAGGATTTCTTTGTCTCACAGGCGTCCACAGGGGCCCTGGAACATTTGGACGCATTAAGAAGCTGTTTCTGTCTTCCTGGCCAAAATGATCGGTCCCTGGAAGCAGCAGGTAACAAGGCATGATTTTTCAGCGTACTGTTTATTTACCTTCACCACGTGATACTCGGTTTGCTTTTAAAATGCTTCCACTGTGGCTGCCCCTTTGGCTGACGGTGCCGTTAAGGGCGAAGGGGATGCTGGGGGGGCAGGCTGCCTGGCAGCAGCCGGCAGTAGGCGGGAGAAGGTGGAGTTGAGGGCAGCGGCGCCATTCATCCCTCTTCCATTTTGCCCTTCACTCACCTCCTCCCGGCTCCCTGCTGAGCTCCTTCTTCCTCCCCTTCCCCCATCCTCCATCGCCTCCAGCACAACCTGGGCAGCTTAAAAGAAAGAAAGGAAATGGAGAGACGTAGTTAACGGCTTTTATTCACGACAGAAGACAGAAGCAGCCTAAACAGCGAATGTGACGGGAGCAAGATGGGAGTCTTGCTTTTCATTCACATCCTCACGTGCTTCGTTATTCTAACCTAGCAAATGGCCGTCCCCTTGGTGCACGTTAGACATAACATGGGGAGTACTATACAGAAACCTCTCCTACAAACAGTGCAGGGAGACAGCTTCTGCGTTCCTCAGAACTGTGGGCTTGTCCACGTTCCAGAAAAAGGTTGCGTCTCCAATTCCTCCTTCCGGGGTTTCACCCAGCGTTAGCCACCAGCACGATTCTTTGCAAGCTGGATTCCCTCAAGATTTCCTGAACTGGTAGTATCACCGGCAATGTAGTCTTTGGTAACATAGGTTCATCAAGCGTAAGGACTGCCTGTAAGGCTGCAGAAATATCCGGCGAGACTCACAGCCTCAGCCCCCAGTCTCATAAACTCAGCCCATTGGGTCACAGGCGACTTGCAGGGGAGCAGCACTGGAGACAGAAAAAGGATCTGCAAAGCAGTATTTGTTCCAAACTCTGTTCTATTCCTTCCCTATCTCTGTGTTTGGAAGGCAACAATGCCTGACTTAATATTTGGAAAAAACTGAGGGAGTCCTACCACCTCTAGGACATTCCAGGAGCGGGAGGATCACTGGTATCTGGGGGACAGCAAGTCATTTTATCCCGGATCTGGAGGAGAAAAGAAAAAAAAGAGAAGATGCTTACGTTCTTGCCCAAGAAGCTCTTTACCTGCCTTTGAATCCTGCCACTCGAGGTCAGCTCCACATACTCTAATCAAACACCAGGAGAGCCTCAGAGCAAAAGGAAAGCACACCAGACAGGAAATGCTTTCTGGACTAGAGGTCTCCGAAGGATGATTCAGGGTTGCAAAAGAAGAGGCAGAGGGGTGGAGGCAGCGTTTCCAGAGGCTCTGTGTGAACTTCAGCGCTCACCGATCAGCTCTGAGCTGATGAGAGGAGAGCGTTTCAGCAGTTCACCTATGAACAGCCTCCCTAAGGGGCACTGCCCCAGAGGTCTGTCACCGCTTAGCCCGTGCCCTGCCCATAGGATCTGTCTCCACCTCGCGATCCTGCACCATTGTGCTATCCGCAGCTTCCATGGTGTGGACATTAGTTTCAGCCTCTGAAGAGCGCGCTTACTAGGCACAGTGGGGGACATCTGAGGAGTCTTCTGCATATGCACAGGCATGGGCCCCCAGTGAGAGCTCTTCTTTCTGGACACCAAGCAGTTTTGAGACCTGCTGTAGCAAGAAGTATTGCGAAGTCCCCTACGCATTCCGCCACATAAAGCATGCTACCGGGTCATTTTCCTCTGTCAGACTCCAAAATCCAAGGACATGGCTCCTGCCACAACCCAGGAGTTCGATTTCTCAACCACATCTTGCAACCTGCTATTTCCAGTCTTCTGGCACAGCTTTAGTCTGGCTCCCACACATAGCGGGCAGGATGCAACTGTCAACAAAAGCACCACTAAGGAAGCCTGCGCTGGTCTCAAGCTGGAATGAGTCACTCCGCTCTCTTCTTTCTAATCCAGCGGAGCAGGCGGTAGCTGAAGGCGACCAGCATTCCCCAGGGATGGCGACAGAGGCTGCCACCCCACTGGTGTGTGCGGCGGAGGTTCCCCGCCGCCGCTGTAGGTGCACGCACCGAGTACCCGTCCTCCGTCTGTGGTTCCCGGCGGCTGACCGGGGGCAGTGACGACCCGCAGCCGGCTTACGAAGTACCCTCCCCGTTTCTGCCAGGCAGAGCACTGGTGTGCGTACGCTGTCCGTGCTCTCAGCACGGGCAAGCAGATTTGTCAGCTGCCCGCTACGTGCCCACCCTGCGCAGGAAGCCTGGGCTGAGCCCTGTCCCTGCAGCAGCCCAGACACAGCTGCGGGCTCTGGCAGCGAACTAACCGGTCACCAGCCGCTGGGGTCATCGTTATTGTGAGCTGCCAGGTGGCA